TTGGTTTTGACTTTGAAAATGATCTGGAGACATGGAGTGATGATAAGACCCTTTTTTCTTTGTCATTAGAATTATTCTTGTAATTGTTATTCATGTTTTTGTATAGTCTTGAACTGCCTTGTTTAACCCTAATTCAATTGTTTGCATGGTAGTGGTATCAAATATCACAAGTTGAAAAGATTAATCTCTGTGGATCTGAATATGAGACCTGTTGATTCTGTAGATCATTATACTTACACTTTCATTTCTCCATAATTTGTTGATTAAACGAGACTTACCTGTAAGTTGAAGTTTGATTGGGATTCTGCCATGTCATCAGTCCGGAACGAAGGAGTCACATGAGTGATACAGAGCTAAGGAATGAAGGAGAATGGGAAGGGTGGGCTGGGCATGTGACTCCTTCATTCTGGACTGATGACATGGTAGAATCCCAATCAAACTTCAACTTACAGGTAAGTCTCATTTAATCAACAATTCTACCATGTCATCAGTCTTGCGTCACTAGGGAGTCACATGAGAGTTCAAAGACCTGTAGAGCAAACTCATAAACAATAGTCCAATTTATTGGGTCCACAAAGCTTTACATGAATAAAACGTGTCATATTGTACAACAATCTCTAGTTACTGGTTGTAGAGTTCAACAAAACATTTCCAAAGTTGAGATCATCTGTGTCTAGGGGCATATCATAATATTGTGCAAAAGTACGAGCGTTTGACCATCTTGTAGTTTTCATGATCTCTGTTAAGGTTAGTCCTTTGGCTTTACAATGCGGAGTTGAAGCGGCTCTGCTACTGTGCGGGGAGTATTTTTTAACATCTATACCCGACTGTTCCAGCACATTTCTGACCCATCTTGCGATGGTATCCTTGGTAACTGGTTTAAATGGTTTAGCATAACTGATTAATAGCTGAGTGACTTCTTTTCTAAACGGTTTCGTCCTGGTTAAGTATTCCTTCAAATAATCCCAGACGCAGATTCTCTTGTCATCCGGGTATGCTATTACCTTAATAGGAGCCAAATGTTTACCTGGCTTAGTTTGTTTAAGCTTTTCATTGATGATAATTCGTAAGCCATCGCCTAGTTCCTGAATAGAACATGTGTCCATGTAAAGTAGGGTTTGTCCTCTTTGTCCAGTTAGACATAATAACACGCTTAAATTCAACATTAGTTCCTTCAGGGTTAAGGAACCCTTAAAAGGACTAAATCTTTTAAGGTAGTTTAATACATTATTAACATCCCAAATTTCCATGTACCTAGGTAATGCCGGTTTTAACTAAAAATGCCTTTCATACAATGGATAACGAGAGGGTGCTCACCGAATGGTATATCCTCGGATAAGATTGTAGCTGACAGTGCAGATCTAGCTGTATCAACTGCGCTGTAGCCCAACCCTGACCTGTATAGTGAAACTAAAAATTCGATTCCCATGGCAACTCCTGGGCAATCAATGTCAATGTTTCTGTGTTCACAGAAGCTCTGCCAACGCTTTAAGTATGTTTGATGTTGTTTTGTTGTGCCCTCTCACCATGAAGCCATTAACACCTCCATTGCTGAGGGTGACAATTGATATTGGTCCAATTTGTGCCTGATAAGTGGCAGATCATGAGATTTAGTTTGTGCCAGATCGGGTGAATTTCTGACAGACTGCTTGGCAGGGTTAGTAGGGTTCTGCTTGCTTTCAGGTACACTGGTGTCTGTTGCATCAGCTGAAGAGCATTGGCGTACCACGGCTGGGTTGGCCAGTCTGGGAGCATGCAAATCCCCGATGCTTTCTCGTGATGCATTTTTCTCAACATGGCGGGGATGACACTAAATGGTGGAAAAGCATAGAAGTTTAATTCTGACCAGTCCAATTTGAAAGCATCGATGGCAAAAGCTTTAGGGTCAGGCCTGAACGAAACATTTATCAAACTGGTAGTTGACGCGTGAAGCAAAAACGTCTACATCTGGGTAAAACCCCAGTTGGCGTACAGCTCTATTTAGGGACCCCGCCTCGAGTTTCCATTCAGACTCTTTTTGGATCCTTCTTGACTCAAAGTCTGCGATCAACTTTTGCTTCCCAGGGATATGTGCAGCGCTTAGCCATAAATTTCGTAAAATGCACCATTTCTATAATTATTTCCTTAGTCAAAGCATTGAGTTGCTCCGAATGACTGGTGCCCATATTGTTGAGTACATTAACAGCAGTCGTGTTGTCACTGAGTATACAGATATGTGTCTTTCTTGTATGTTTGACAAAACACTGCAACCCCAGAAATATGGCTAACAGCTCAAGATAGTTAATGGATTAATCACTCTCTTGATTTGTCCATAGTCCTCCAGAGGGTACACCATTATATTCTGCCCCCCGGCCCTTTTTGGAAGCATAGGTGGTGATAATGTGAGATAGTTTGTCATGTGCTATCACATATTGTACGCTGCATTTATTGACCTAGTCCACCACTGGAGTTCTGATATTGCATTTTCTGATAACTACATGGTGTGTTCAAAATTACCTTTTGATTTGGTCAAATGTAATGTTTATCCTTTTTGAGGCAACGATAATATAGGGCACCATGCATGACACCTGGTAAGCTGGATAATTCTTATGTACTCGAGCGCTTACAACATAGAGCTGCAAAGTTAATTTTTCCAAATTCTGGTCTCGATACTAAAGAGCTGAATGCTACTTTGGGTCTAGTACCCTTGATTGATAGAGGAAAACTTCATATTGTCTTATTAGCTAGAAAATGCCTTGATGGCTCGCTACCGCCTTATCTGAATCACTATTTTAATTTAAATACTTCTATACACACGTTTGCGACTAGATGCTGTAATGACATTCATCTTCCAAAAGTCCACCTTGAAGTCGCCAAGAAATCTTTTTATTTTACAGGCGTGATGGAATTTAATGGTCTCCCTGGCCATATTAAAGCAAAGGAATCCTTTATTGAATTCTCGAGGGCCACGAAAGACTTTTTCCTCAATTATTAGACGTTTTCGTGTAGATGTACATCTCTTTTTATTGATGTCGGCCATGCAACAGTTTTTCTTAGTGCTTTTTACCTTTCAGACTTTTTGTATTTTTTAATTAAGTATTTTAATAACAGGACCCCCATTGATACCAGTGCTTAGTACACTGAAGGGGTTATCCTGTATAATTATTATTATCATTATTATTATAATATAATTTTCCCAATAACTCTAGCTACATCCCTAATAGTAGGGTGGTCAGAGTTCAGAAGCATACCACAGTCATGCAGTTAATGAACTTTGTTATCCGGTGTTAACTGTATGGTCATGGTGACAGAGTCATTAAGGAATCCCCAAATTGTCAAAGTTTGTTTTGGTTTTGGGTACGATTTTTCAGGGTGTATAACAAACCCCAATTTACTAAGTAGTACGATTGTATCTATAACATTTGCAACACACCCTTGAAGACTTTGGCCTTGAGATAGATATCATCAAGGTATGCTACTGATATGTGCCCTAATTTGTGTAGACATGAAAGTGGGGGCTTCAGCAACTTGGTGAAAATTCGTGGTGCACATGAAAGCCCTTTAGGGAGACATGTAAATTCATAAATTTGATTTTCCGACAAAAATCTTAAAAACTTCCTGTACTCTACACAAACAGGGACAGAGTAGTAGGCATCTTTGAGATCAAGTGATGCCATGTAGCAATGTCTAGTTATTAGTTTTGTAATAGTAAACAAGGAGTCCATCTTAAAATGATGATAGGTAACTGATTCGTTAAACCTTTTAAGGTTCAATATTAACCTATGCATGCCATCTTTTTTGGGCCATAGGAAGATGCTAGACAATATTAATTTTGCCCCTTCTTATGTGACACTTTTACTATGATGCCTTTCTGAAGCAGTTTAGAGATTTCTCTTTCAATAATTTCATGCTCAGCATCAGTAACTAGTGTACAAGGCAGGGTATGCTGTCGTGGTTTCTCAAATAGGTCAATCTGTGTACCATTTACATGAGATAGCAACATTCTATCATTACTGATTTCATTCCAAGCTTAAAGGAAGGTACCTATTTACCCGGCTTGGAATGATTGGCACATCTCAGTAAAGTGTTCCACAAGAGGGGGTAAAAATTCATAGAATAGACTTACATTTGTTTTAAGTTACAAAAGTGTTTCTCATATTTTCTCTCCGCTGACTGCTGTTTTTTCCTTTTGTAAAGTTTGTTGTGGCCTTTCCACAAAAAATCTCTCTTCGCTTTAAAGGCATTGTAGTTCTGTTACCCAGTTGTAGGGCCATGGCTTTTATGCCCTTTCTGAGTGGTATAGAGAGCCTTGCTAACTTTACTAGCTTCTTTGGCATCTCCGAGTTGTCTAGCTAGATCATCTCCAAACAGATATTCACTGTCGATTGGTATGTCTGCAGAGCAGATGGTGTTGTATTCTGATTTTAAGGTTGGTTTAATTTGTTCCCTCCTGAGCTGCGAGAGCTGCGTGTGTACATGACTTAACATGGCTAATGACTCAACTTGAGGCTCAAAAATCTTTGAATTAGATTCCCCGGTGGGGTTACTGAGTAGCAGGTTAGTTGTTTGTAAGTTTGCATAAATGACTTTGCGTATAGTCTGTTGCATATTTGACAGATTCAAATGAGTAGATTGTTTTTTAGAATTAAGCCGTGTCCAGATTTCACTGTTTACCTTAGTTCCCTTTATTGCTGTGCAGTTTTCAGGGCATTTGTACTTTTCAGCAACGAATTTAATTTTTGCAGCAGCTAAGGTTTTTCCCCAACGCTTTTGTGCTATTTGTGCCAGCTCTGTTTTGATTTTGTCACCGGTGGCTTGGTCATTGTCGAGCTGGTTAGTGAGTTCTTGCAACAGAGTTTCACTAGCGGACGCTTCCCTCTTTTTGGCCGGTGGCTTTTGATTGCTCGGTGAGCGTGTGGATGTCCTTATTGACGTCCAAGTCATCCTCAGCATGGAGGCTTAAATTATCATCATAGTTGTTTTTCCGTTTTGATGCGGGCCCTTCATTATCAGTGTCAGAGTCACTCATCTGATCTGGTTTTCATCGCCGGATCTGGTTTTCGTAGCTTCGACAACAATGTTGCTTTACCAGATACCCCGCTGGGGTTGTTTTGTTTCATTTCGAGTAAGATTTCTGCAATTTGGCACATATTTTCATTCATGGACTGGAGCATTTTAGCCAAGTCTTTGTTTGTGATATTATCCTCACCGTGAGAATTTCCACTGGAAGTTTCAGCAGCGACCTCGTGGGCATCGCTATAGTTGGTAGGTTCAATCATTGTCCTGTGAAAAAAGGCAACAAGGAAAAGCGTAAACCTGCAAAAATTTAAGTGGGTTGTATGCCTTAAGAATCTGTAGGGTATAAGAAACAGGGATGGCTCTGAATGAGGGAGAAAAATGATATTTTGGTTCACTCACCTCTACGTAAAGCACTGACTTTGGCAAAGGTGCCTGCACTGATTGGTATTGTGCATGCGCATCATGTGACTCCATAGTGATGTAAGACTGATGACATGGTAGAAGCATAGGTCTTGCCACAACAAGGGAAATAATGAATGTTCTTGTCATCCTCAGTTTTGTTGTGTGGTCTTTTCCTCCAGAGCAGCTTCTGCAGACAAGAGGTTTTTATTAGCAGTTTCTCAAAATTTTCTCTTTGAACCAAGTAAGGATCAACATTGCAAGTGGTAATTTGGCGCACATAATTATTATTTTCCTGTTGACCATTGTGTGTGCATAAGGGAGATCTGGTTGTGAAAATTTACTTCAATCAGAGATCATTACTTCATGAACATTCTTTGGTGGCAGCATGTCTACTACAGCAGATACTTTGTTGGGATCTGGTTGTATTCCTTGCGTACTAATGATGTGACCCAAGAACTTGATTGTTGTCATGTTGAATTCACATTTTGCTGCATTGAGGGTTAGACTTGCAGTGGAAAGTCTTTGTAGAACTTTATTGAATGTGGCGTCGTGTTGACTCTGAGTTGGTGCGTGCTTTAATACATCATCAATGTTGCACTGGACTCCTTCTAGCACCTCTAGAATTTGGCTCATGCTCTTCTGGAACTTTTCTGACTCTGAGCTGATACTATATGGGAGTACGCTGAAATAATACTGTCCCCAGGGTGTGATAAACGTGTTGAGTCGTCTTGATTCCTTGGCTAGCATAATTTGTGAGAAGCTTGAGTTGGCGTCTAACTTGGAGAAGTGATTCAATCCAGCCAGCTTTCCCAGTGTGTGGTCCACCGTGTTATGTTTTTGGGTTGCAGAAGAGTATATACACACACACAAGATGGCGGGTCAACAGCAAGATTATATTGATAAGGGCACATGGTAACATTACCGCTGCATACTTCGCGGGCTCACAACAAACAGACAGTCAATACGGAACATCTCCATACTGTAACACCTCCCGCTGGAGATTTGTTAAGAATAACTCTCTCGTAAGCAAAATAAACAAATACTCAGTACTAACAAGTCTCCATATGAGTGTCCCTAGAACTGAGTATTCTGTGAGTTCATCAGGTAACTAACGATCAGTCAGTAACAACAAGAACAGGTGTTCATTAATAATGTTCAGTTCACATGTCTCCTCAATCAATCTCTGGGGATGTCTGTGGGAGCAGGATGATCGACGCTGCATAGGACTTGTGGAGGCAGGAGTTGTCTCCAATTGAGCTGAGTTATCAGGTGGATGTGAACTGGTTTCAGGTGAGCTAACCGGTTGGGTTCTGGAACAATTGAGGTTGCTGTCTCCAAGGATGGTACACCAGATTAAGCTGTTGTAGAGTGGGAGTTGTTCAGCAAGACGTCATCCACATGTTGCCTCCAAACTCGCCCATCATCAAGGTGAACTTGGCTAGAGTGTGAAGAGGGGCGTTGTGCCACGGTTCCAGGTTACCACTTTTGCCCTGACAAGTGGTCGCATGCAAGGACTGTGTCGCCAACAGCAATTTCTCGAAATTTAGCATGCTTGTCATAGTGCATCTTCATCTTTATTTGCTGGTGGGTGACACAAGTGGCGAGGTCCAGTCTCACTAGAGAGAGACGTGTGCAATTCTCTTTGTAGAAACAGTATGGCTAGGGACGGGCCAGTTGTGGCATGCTGGGTGCTTCTGTAAGACAAAAGGAAGATCTGAATTCTCTGCTGCAGTGTGCAGGATGGATCAGATGCTGAGGATTCGAGAGAGTGCTTGAAGGTTTGCACAAACTGCTCAGCTAGACCATTTGAGGATGGATGATACGTGGAAACCAATATCTTCCGGATGCCATTTTGTCTCAAGAATTCCTCGTACTCAGCAGACTGAAAAGGTGGGCCATTGTCACTAAGGATTTGCTTTGGAAGGCCGTATCTTGCAAAAATGTTGCACATAGCATTGGCTGTTGCTTCAGTGGTGGTGGTTTTCATGGGACCAATCAGTTCTGGCCACTTTGAGTGAGCATCAACCATAATGAGATAGTGGTTGGACTGGTGGGTGGCAAAGTCTACATGGATACGTTGCTAAGGAGCTGTAGGCCCCGACCAAGGGGAAAGTGGTGCTGCTTGTCGCGCCCTTCTGTTTTGGAAACATTGCTTGCAAAAATGTGCTCTCTCCTCGATGTTGCTGTCTATCCCAGGCCACCATGCATGACTGCGGGCAGCTGCCTTCACGCGTGGGACTCCTGGGTGCGCCTTGTGTAGCTCACTTAAAATCTGCTCCTGTAAGGAGGGAGGTATGACGGTTCGCAGGCCCCATATCAGACAGCCTTGCTCGACAGATAGCTCATCCTTGCAGAGGAAGAATGGCTTGAGTTCAGGAGTGGAGTTGTTGTTTTTTTTTAAAAAGGCAGACCAACCATTTTGGGTCATTGTGAGAGCCTTAGCTAGGACTGGATTAATTAAAAGAACACACGCCATGTGTTCTTTTAATTAATTTCAAACATGTGCATATTTAATTAGTTGTTAACATGACACTGAAATGGATTACACAACAAAACTTACTTAACTTTACCAAATATTATTTTAAATAGATAACATATGGCAAGCATTGGCATAATTTATAAGGTGCACTGAAACCTAAGCAAAACCAATGATCAAAGTGGTCCCCAAACAAAGGTGGTTTCCTGAAACATGGTTTCTAACAGACAGTATGAAACCCACTGGAAATCTATACTATTTATGTAGGATGCTCTTCAGTCATACTGAGGACCTGTTTTTTTGAGTCAAAGTTATCACAATGATAGACAGTTCTGAGTGGCATTCAAGCATTGGAGGAGAGCTGATGGCAGATGGTGCTTCAGTTGTTGTTTGATTTCTTTCTGAAGTGATGTATCATTCTGTACAATCCTATTGATAGGGGCAGCAGAGTCTTGTCCAAATTGATGCAATGTTGAAAATAGTAGGAGGAATGCTATGTATATGGTTACCCTGAGGTAACCTAGTTGGCAAAGAGAAGCCTGGTATCAATCATCCTTTAATGAGGCCTTATAGACACTTGAGGCAAGGAAATCTAGCCTATGATTATCGGGCTGAGTGCAGTAGCTTGGAGGCCTTTTAATAACTTGATTGGAAAGGAAAATGGCTCCTGAATTTGGAAGCATCTTGGTCAGCATACACCTATATGTGTGCATAAAAGAGTTGTGTAAACTATAAAAAAATATAATTATCTATATGGTAAGATCCTGAACTCAATATCCACCAATATTATGATGGAACAATCTTGAGAATTCTTCAGTTAGAAAGATCAATGAAAAAGTGAACTAAATTTTTGTAGAATTAAATGCTAATAAGACACCAATTTTGATGATGTGTAAGACTGCTGCCAATATACACTTAGGTGGCTAAAACAAAATTATCTTTTCTCTTACTCATTACCAGAGGACTGCAACTGGGGTTGTATCCACTTGGCTGGCTGGCTGGAACTAAGTGGGAAAGTGGCAATAATGATGGATTCGGTTATTAGGAATGACAGTAACATTGGAAAATATAACCAAAAGTAAATGTAATGTCTACATTGATTGATGACAGAAATTTTACAGAGATTATAAACTTCTGATAGGTATTATATACAAACACAACTCACTTCACTTTACCATGCTCTTCAATCCAGAATTCATGCAATGACTACGCTTCTCTTGAACAACCAACCTTGTGGTGTGTGCAGTGGTATAATTCCCATAAAGAAACAAACTTGACCACTGACCATGCATTAACATTAGCCGATTTGGATGACATAAATTAATGTCGCAACCTTGGAAAATGGCTGAAATAATTGAGGTCAGCACAAATAGTATGCTATTTGCTATCCTTGCAGCAATTATATTGTGATCTTAAAGAGTAATTAAGAAATATGCTTTCTAACAGTTCTTCTTGATATGTCTCATTAAAAAAATAAAAAAATGTTTCCTTTTGATAAACAAGGATCCTCAGTCAACAACTCAGCTTTTATGAATTAGAACAATAAATGATGCAAAGTCACTAAAGAACTCAACATAATTCAAATATAAGATATACTTACCAGTGAATCATAGCATCTTGGAACTGTTCATTGACAAAATTAATCAGGTTTAAGAGACTTACTGTAGAGCTGCATTCAAAAGATACTCCATCAATAGATTCTAGGATGTTTTTCAAGGTTCACTTTGAAAGATGCCAAAGAAGGTACAGATTTGGTATTTACTGGTATGGGTAAACATATCCATATATTTTAGAGAAATAAGTTGGAATAAAAATTCACATTACACCCATCCACTTCCTTTCTATTTTGGTGGGAGGTGTTTGTGTTGTCCTTGTGCTTTCCTTTATATTCTTAAGTGTGTTGAAAAGTGGCAGCATAAGGTGATGTGGACCTGCTAACTATCCTTAATAGTTATTAAACTCATCGGCACTGATGAGCTTGGAGGAAGGTGCCGTAGCACTGTGGCAGTCGCGCTGACTACCCACAGCAGGGAGGTTACCATGGGGACACAACCTCGGTCCACCCCCACAATGGTGCTTGAAACAAGAGGGACCGGGATTGAGCCATAGTACCTCCAACCCAAGGCCCCACCAAGCACCATTCTCCCTACCTTTGCTTATACACTGGTATGGCACATACCGGTAGTCACGACAACTGCTGTGACAAGCTAGCCAAGACATCTGCCAGTGTCCGTATGTACATCTGATATGCATTACTCGACCATCTACCAAGTGTCTGAAGCAGATGGTCTGGAATCCCATTGCGAGCTGCAACTGTGGCTGCCCCAATCCTGAAGCTGTGGCTTGAAAACTTCCCGGGGATGCCCGCCGTCTCCAGAATGGTGCTCAACCACTTGTTGGGTAGGGGTCGAGACAATGGTTCTCCTGATTAGAGCCTGAACAGAGGGCCAGGTGCGTTTCCCCTACCTGACAAGTACGATAACACTGCGTGTAACGCGCACAAGGGCGGAGATCCCTTGCCAATGTGAAGGGTTGCCCCATTTCTGAAAGGGTCTGTTTTTGAGGCTTTAATGAAGACTTGTAAGCATGTTGGGTCTAGGGATGCGTCTACAGCCAAATCCTTCACCTGTAGGTGCACCGAGGGGGAAAACTTGGATGAGGAGGGAACTGTGAATTCCGAGGCTCTTAGGAAACCGAAGTATGCCAAGGAACAGGCCACCCAGAACATGCAATGGTCAAAATTGTGTAGATCCAACGATTTGACAATCACCATCATGAGCTGGTCTGTGATTGGCAGACGTTCACGTTTGACTACGCCCTGAAATCGCTTGATCCCTTGAAGAACTTGCTCTAGGTGCAGGCAATTTAACAAAGGGTCATTGAAGCCCTGCTCAATCTGAAGGGCACGGCGCGCACAGCAGACAAATAAACAGTGATTGAAGAGTACTGAATGGATCCGGCCAGGTGGGACACAAACAGACACAAGGTCCACTCGTCAACTGGGCAGGGAGACCCAGAGGGTTGGAGCTTACCCAGTTGCTGGCAGAACTCTATGAACCTTTTTTGACCAGAAGCGTAGGAACGTCGTGTGGATGGAGCTAGGCCTTGGAAGAAATGCATGCACTTGGATTCTAGAGAGCTGACGTCAAATTGCATATCACCTCTGGGGGGATTGAGGTGGGGGCTGCCAGTGCTGTTGGGGCCAGGCATCTGAAGTCCTGCCAATGAAAACGGGAAAGGGCGTCAGCAACTGAATTACAGAGTCCGGGGATATGCAGTTCTGAGAAGGAAGACTGGAACTTTGCGGCTGAGTGCAAAAGATGGCGCACTAGGTGCATGATGGCTGGCACCTTTGACGTTCTCGAATTGAGGATGGCGACCACTGCCTCATTGTCGGATCGAAACCTTATGTGCAACCTTGGCCACCTATGGCCCCAGACTGCGGCGGCAATTGCAATGGGAAATAGCTCTTTATAGGCAATGGACTTATCAACTTGCTGCTGTAGCCACAAACCGTTAAACCACGCTGAGCTCCAGATGGCCCCGAATCCTATGCGTCAGTCATAATTTCCAAGTCTGGGGGAGGGGACAACCCCGGGAATAGCCAGAAACCAACACCGTGCCAATGTGACAGGAACTGGTGCCACCACTTGAGGTCAAGTCTAAATTCCTGGCTCAATCGAATAGGGTGATCCTGCCTGCGGAAGCAGTTCAGGAGATCGATCATCCTCCGAATGAAGGCCCGACCTGGCCAGACGACTTTGGCTGCATGGTGAAGGTGACCTATCAGGGATTCCAGCTCTTTCTTGGTGCACCAGCGCTTCGCAGTCCATGCTGCGATTAACTCCCTAAGTGCTGCCAACTTATCCTGCGGAAGTTCGGCTGATTGTCAAACCGAATCTAGGTGAATGCCGAGAATAGTAAGAGCAGTTGATGGGCCCACACACTTCTTAGGATGCAAGGGGAGGCCTAATTGTTGGCAGACTGTGAGGGCTGTAGCTAAGTTATGATGACACACCTGGGAGCCAGGGGGGGCCACTAATATGAAATCATGCAGGTAATGAACCAGGTCTGAGATTTTATAGTTGTGTACAAGGATCCATTGAACCATATTCGCAAGTGAGTTAAAAATATAGGGAGCGGACCGCAAACCAAAGGGGAGTGCTAAGTCAACGTAGTACTGGCCTCTCCACTTAAGTCCAAGCAGGTAACGGTCCTCTGGATGCACAGGGATGTTACGATAGGCTGATTCCACATCAGATTTTGCCATCAGGGCCCCTATCCCCTGTGCGGCTACCATCCTGATAATTTCATCCAGCCGTATGTAGTGCATCGAGAATTCTTCCGGGTCTATGCCATCATTAACACTGAGCCCCTTGGGGGAGGATAAGTCTACCATAAGGCGCCATTTGCCTGTTTGACCCTTTTTTGGAATCACGCTGAAGCTGCTGATATGCAACTTGGGTAATGGGGGGGATAGGAATGGGCCCGCTACTCTCCCTAATCTGACCTCGTCAGCTAGGTAGGAATCGATTACTCCTCCGTGTTTATAT